TATCGTTATCGTTCTATTGCCCAGCTCTAGGTCAGACCCATCCAAACATGGAGGTCCTTAGACTGAAGAGGACGAAGCAGAGCCAGGACTGCTGAGCAGCTGGAATCCTCCATCAGACTGATGTTAGAGAGCAAACATGGACCTGTCCTACCTTTACAGACATGTCGCTGCCATCACGTAAATAGAATAAAATATGGGTTTCTGAGATTTGCACATCGTTGCGTTCTGTGTTTCACCTCAAATTAAACTAGTTTCTATTTTTAAATAACCGATTAAAAGTACTCTGAGTACTTTGAGAACTGTCTCAGTGTTTGGACTCTAACTAAAATATTTTTTAAAATCCAAACACTGGTTTTAAAAAGCAAACAAAAGCGAGAAGAAAGAGAAAACAAAATCGTTCTTACCTGCAGCGCTGGTTTAACGTCAGGAAAAACCCGCTCTTTTCTCAGGTCATCTTATAGCCAGTTGCTCATGTCCCACTGAAAGGCTGACCTCAAACACAGCACCGCTGTGATTGGCTCAAAGCAGCTTGTGGCAGTGTAAAGGTCCCTGAGCCCATCGGTCTCCGGAGGTTTGTCAGGGTGTGGGTCTGTTAGGACAACGAGCAGAGACGTGTGGGACAACTGACGGTTTACGCGACTCTGAATCTGGTGATTTTTGTGCACATGCACTTTTCCCTACGGGAACTAACACATACACATTATTATTATTATTATTATTATTATACATTATACGCACTTCTCACGTGTTTTTCACAGAATACCAGATTCAGATTTTTTTTTAAAAAACTCCAGCGCAACGTCTGTTTATAAGGCCGATACATATTCTGATTCTCGTGTGATAAACACTGAGTTAACAAACTTGAAGTTAAGTTCCTAATCACGTTTTATGTTTGCTAGCATGTGCAAAAACAAATAAATACTTAAATGTTCTGCAGAAAGAAAATCAATATTATATAAGTGATTATATCTTTCCTCCTACGATGAAAAGCTGCAGCGGGATATTATTTCCTGCGCTGATATTGAATTCGGAGGAGCGCAGATGTTTCCTCTGAGGTTTAAACCGTGAAATCTAATTTGTCTGCTGCTCCTTCCTTCAGGTATTTCATCCGTATATTTGTTCCCATTTTCCTTTTGAAGCTAATTGGTCCCGAGGTCAGTACAACAGAATTTGGCTTCCTTTGAGAAGAACACAGGGATTAATTATCGGGGCTGCTTAATTGGCTCTTTCTGTCACACTACTGGGAATCTCAGAGCTGCAGCTCTAATCAACAGCGGCCTGAACACCATGTGATCATGCAGAGACCAAACATCAGAAAAATGAATAAGTTGACATATGAGCATAATGAAAGGCCAAAGACAGTTTGGATAGAGTTTGATGGCGTTAAGATGACTTTATTAAGACAAAAGACAAAACAATGATTTACTTGTTAGCATGCATCGAAAAATCAATAACCAAATATAACTTCAAGTTTATTAAAAATGATAACAGCTTTACATCAAATGGTTTTTCTACCAGAACCTCAAACAGCAACATGCGATATCTGATGTGATCTGATACTGTGTTCATTTTAGGACATCCTCAGGTCTCAGGAAAAAAGCCATCTTATGTTTAGTGAAATTAATGAGAATATTAAAGTTCGCTGCTGTTTTTGGTTATTGTAGAACATCTGACTAATATTGTTCGTTAATTCTGCTTTCACCTGCTCCGAGTAGTACGCTGCGCACGCACGCAGTGAGACAGCGCGAAGGTGAGACCCGCCCCCCCGGGAGTGAAGTTGCTTACATGTCTGCTCAGTTACATAGTAAAACAAAGCTTGCTAGTAATCACGAATCCAGAGTCATTAGTGAACATCAAACAGTTATATTTTTTACATCTTAGTACCATAGCTCAAAGATACAGAGACAATTAAGATCACTTCAACATGATAGTTTTGCTTAATAAGAAAATATATTTCTTTAGAATTTATATGATTCACTCAGTCCTCTTGCTTTTGTAGTAGTACATTTATGAAGTGTTGCCCCCCCCCTGGTCTGACAGGTGCCTGGGAGGGGTGCGATCCTAGATCCCGCAGCTCAACAACATATATAGAAAACCCACTACAACTGAAAACGTTCATTAGCATTGCTACGGTACTTGAAACTCACTTTCCTCGCTAGCCAGTCCATTAGCCTAGCACAGGGGTCGGCAACCTGCGACTCTTTAGTCCTTATACTGTGGCTCCGCGTGGTTTGGGAAAATAAATTACAAGTATTTAGCTGAAGTGTATTTTTTTTTTGTATTAGTTCTTTTTAAACTTGTAGTTCTAAATTGGAAGATTATTGTGATATTGAAATATAAAAATACAATTATATTTTATTAGTTTTCGTCGCTCAAAATAAGAGTCACACTCGCAGAAGCCGGTGTACCC